TGAACTTTACCAGGGAGGCAAGCTGAAACGAGCTTGAAAGTCGAGCTTGAAACGACTACAGTTCCTTCATGCCATAAATGGAAGATGAATTATTACGATGTCGCACATCTGGATCATCTCAAAGATGATCTTACCAGGGAGGAAGCGAACTTCGCTTGTCTACATGACGTCCCTCCATGACCAATACGGATCTCATCTGGCCGAAGTCGTACATTAGATACGCAATATTCCAAAGACGAAGCAGTATTCATAAGTCGTACGATGATACGCACACGATTCTCAAAGCGGATCTGACGTGATGAAAAGTCGCATTGTGATGCGCAAGATGCTCAAGCGGAGCGAAGTTGCTCAATGGAGCGGAATTGGACCGAAAAGTTCCTAACGGTGGACAGGATACCTGTGACCCGATGAGTGGAGGATCCTAGTCTACGGATTTTGATTAATACTTCTGTTGATCTGTTTTTACTGTTGATGTTATAGTATTTTTATACAGATCTCTTTATTTTCACATCGTGTACTTGGAATAAAATTAGATGTGATAAAATGGACTAAAAGAGATGATGTTTTATTAGCATTTTTATGAGCACACACAGGCCGTCCGCCAAAACGATTGGATTCGACACGGAGATGGATGCAGCCTCGAACGGAGCTCGGCATCCCTCCCAGAGGCATGTGAGCCATGGCTGTACTCACGTCCACCCTCACGCCTGTGGCGTTAAGCGGATGACGTGTCAGTGTTGTGTCTCCTCTGATTGGTTGTATGTGCCTTGTGTGGGCGCGCCTATGTGCGCTGCGAAGAGCGTTGATTTAGCTCTTCGCTTGGCAGATTTGCCAGTGTTCAGTCAGTGTTGATGTGAGTTGATTTGCACACTCAATAAAGTGTACCTATGCTAGTGGATGCCGTGCGTTGGGCATTTATCCAGATTTCATAGCATATTACGCTACGCAGGATCCTGTCAGTGGGGATCTCTGTCCTGGACTCATTCTGAGTTCCACGTTATATACCTTTGCACATAGAAACGAATCCTCTACAGAGTTGATGGTGTATGATTATTCTGCAAGATTACTTGAGCACAGTGTTAACATTTGCCGCAAAGCTATATTATCGTCAAGAACTATCTGTGCTGTATTGCAGCTACCTAACTATGCTCTGCCTTTAACTACGAAAGCGTTTTCATCATTGCGTTTTGTCGGTGACTTATTAGTTTTATTATATCACGCGCAGTGTGTGGCGCTGTTTACTATTTAGCGTAATTTTCTCTGCTACGCCACCTAGTAAGCACCGCGAAGCATATTTTTAAAAGAACGGGGTTTCTGGAACAACTTGGTGAGCACTAAAATCTGCGAATTTATCTTATTGACGATTCTCGCCCGGATGGCGCCCCGTGGCGGTTGGGAGTCGTACGCCCACGCTACGCCCAGAAGTCATCGTAGGCCCATAGCAACACGTGCTTTTCCTGGCACTTTTTAAACAGCGCGAGTTCTCTCATTATTCTGCTTACTATGGCGGCAATCACATGAAAATTAATAGAACACTAAGCTCTACCAATTGCGCGACACATGCCTGATAAAAAAGTGAAGTGTGCCCTGTTAAATTGTGCGGCGATGCCGATGGCCGTGGTATTACAGAACGCCTAACGTGCGACCGTTTTCGCGTGTTACATGGCGCATGCGCATTTCCCTTTTGGCGCACTGCGAAAATCCCTGTACTTTAGTGACGTCAAAATGACACACTGCCAGTCTGCAGTCCCGGCGAGAATCACGAATTGCAGTCTTTTCATGATGGTTAGCCAACTGATGAGAAGCGGTTACGTAATCGGAGTCGCTGTGGGAGGTGTAATCGGCGGTGTGGTCGGAGGTCTCGTCGGGCTACATCGTGGGGACAAGGTATATAGTCAATGCATTGGAATGGTGGTGGGCGGGGTGGCCGCCGCGGTGTCTGGCGCTGCTACCTGGCATATAGTTCGTCGAGAACCAATACTTACGATGGCTGGAGCGCTTGCAGCGGGTCCGACAGGGGCAGTGGCTGGAGGCTTTATGAGAGGAGTTCTGTATGAAACGTTTGCTGAGTTCAGAGTGGGAGACCCGACGAACTGAGCGGAGATCGTGTGAACTTAGCTTGTGGGTGGATCTGTTCCTGTTTTGCTGTGGAAGAAGCTTCTTGGGATAAGTATCACGGCTCATTAATTGTGCGGGAAAATGCCGCAGTGTGCTTTTACTAGACTGATTCGAATAAACGGTTTAGATATCATTTTTGCTAAGTATCTGAACGTCGCTTAAGGGAAGTGTGTCGGTACATATGTATCTTTTGACTTCATTTCACGAAAGCATCTCATTGGATAGAGCAAGCTTTGCTCTAACAGAAAATGTTAGTGTTATACTTTTCAATTCAGAATGAAAGTTAAAATTGCATAAAATGCGATCAAGTCATCAAATGTGTACACGCACTCTAAAACATAGCGCTTGTGGCAAGATGCTCAGTTCAGTCAAAACGGGCAGACAAGATCGAATGCAACAATGCGGATCAAGACGCGGATCTGACCGCGCGATGTGCGAACAGAAAAACAATTGCTGTGAATAAAAGTCCTATTTTTGTTCTCGAGTGTACCAAAAGTCTCGTTTCTATTCGTTTTTTTTCAAACTTTCTCAGTAAATGCCAATGTAGGCCAAGATCGTTTTTACACCGAACGGCTTATCTAGCTTAATTTTGGAATTAGTTATTGAATTTCAAAAACTTTGAAATTCAATTTAAAATTTTAAAACAACATTTGTACGGTGGCTCGGTGTAAAAACGATCCTTATGGGAATGCCCATTTTCTGACAAAGTTTGAATTCAATAGGGTGATAATGAGACTTTTGGTACACCGAGGCGCGTTTAGGATTTCTCCTCTTTTAAGTTTCAATTAACTTTACAACCGAATGTTTTGCGCGTATATCGTTTTCACAGTCATGCCACCAAATCACTCAGCTAGTGGATGCAACAAAGAAATTTAAAAAAACGTAACTGTTTGCGCGCAAGTAACGCTGGTTGTACAGGTAGACATGAATTTGAGGCCATGTACCGGCATATTTCCCTTAAATGTTAGAACTTAGAAGTTGCTAAGCGGGATTGCAATTAAAAACACTATGATCGACAGATTTAGTTTTGCCAGATTGTTCACCGTAACTTGGAATGCAGATACTTGTAAACCAACGGCTGAATCGTTTACAATAAACTTTTATGCTATTGTTCTATACCTACTTACTTGTAGTGCAAAGTGCACAAGAATATAATTTTATGCGAATACCGTAATTATCGAATTATAAGCCCTGGGCTTCAAAAGTTGGAACGCCCCGGAGGGGCTTTAGTTACGGGCATGGACCTGTATTTCAGGGGGGCTATTATATTTTAAATGTGTTTTTTTATCGGCATGGGCTAACAAATTTCAAACAAGTAAATCCACTATTTGGAAAATAGTATTAGTGGAGGTACGTAGAAACGGTAGAATCAAACATCGTATAAAAGCACTGTACTGTAATAACAAAATTCACTACATGTCAACAACTGAACTGCTTGAAATTACAGAACTGTCGAAGGAACGTAACCTTTCGCCTTTTCAAAAACACATTCAGTCGGAATCCGACTCGCTGCGAGTATCCATGATAGCTTTCCCGGTGTATAATACCATTATGCATTTATGCGTAGTATCCAGTACTGCCGGCCCAGGAAGATTGTCGGCATCTATGTACATCGACTTCCTCGCCGTCTTCGTCATTAGGCTGTGCTAAAGTACCGGTACATGCCGATGCTCAGAAATTTTATTTTTTCGTGCATTTTGTTATAGCCTTTGGGCATCTTTCAATAATTCGATAATTACGATATCGTACAATGGCTTTTCGCACCTTAGCTCCGCGCTCCGGATTACAATATAATTTGCCATACCAAAATTTTAATACTTTTTAATCGACTTCTGTCTACAGCTTGTAATATTCGTGCGATGTTTAAAACGTTTAGTAAGGAACCATTTGGTATCTCAACCGTTTACTGTCACTTATTCGGTATGGTACAACACAAATACATGAATTCTCCTGACTGCAGCATATATTCCTGCTCCTGGAAAACTGGTAATGCTTTTCCGAAAAATCTCCTCAACAGACACAACCCAGAACAGAAATTTAATTCACAAGCTAAGTTCGCACGATCTCCGTTTACATCGTCGGATCTCCCACTCTGAATCCGCTGAATGTTTGATACAGAACTCCTCCCATGAAGTATCCAGCCATTAGCCCTGCGTGACTCGCTGTATCTCGTCCAGCCAGTGTTAATAGTGGTTCTCTGCGAACTATGTGCCAGGTAGCAGCGCCGCACACCGCCCACCATCATTCCGACGAACCGGCCCGATTCCTTATCCAAACGATGGAGGCCGAAGAGACCTCCAGCCATGCCGCCGACCACCCCGCCCACCGCGACGCCGATTACGTATCCGCTGCTCACCACCTGGTCAGCCAGCCTATCCATCACGAAAGTCGAAAAGGCTGCAATAAATATGCAAGTTCAACAGCCACTAAGTTTTTCCAATAAGGCCATTCTTTTAACAATAAGAACTGTGGTACTTACCAGGCGTTATACAAAGAAAATTACGTTAGATAACGCCACAGACAGCGCGCGATGTAACTACTCACTAATAAGTCGCCGGTCTGAGAAAAAACGACAAAATTCAATAATCAAAGCGTTTTCGTAATTAAAGGCAGAACATAGTTGGCTGCAATACAGTGCAGATGGTTCTTGCCGATAATGCGGGAGATGTTTTCATTCATGCGCTCCAAATGATCTTGCATATTAGCACACGGTAGAGAGTTCGTTTCTACAGTTAAAGGTTATTTATGCGGATGCGCAGCACCATTTCTTGACCCGGTTGGCCGAAGAACAACCTTATTGTTCTGAACAACGCCGTTTCCAATACAATTTTCTGAATGATAAAATATGCTTTGCAGTTTCTAATTCAAACACCATTGTCCGGTAAAGGTACACTCGGTACTATAAAATCGTATCGCATGCTCACAGTTTGCTATTTACAGCCACTGCATGTCTGTCGTGCCGCTATTTTGCAGTTACGTTTCACTCTTGGTCAGCTTCCATTTTCCTCTTCATTACGTAATTCTCTTGCCGTTTTGAGCCAGTCTGCCGCTAACGTGAAATTCCCGCTGCCGGCTATTTTCTGTCCAATCAGGAAAGCGTCTTCGGATGTAAAAAGCTTGGCAGGGCGCATTCCGGGAACGTGACCTTTAACAATATCTCGGGCTGGAATATCCTCATCTGACTGGAATTTTGCGAGGGTGTCTATGCGACCATCCATTTCCGATTTCGTGGGGAAGGAGAGTAAACAACGCTGTTTTCGCAATAACTGTTTGTGCTCTGCAACGGAAGGGAATAGTTATGGAATAGGGAATAGACGATTTTGTACAAACTGTAGGAGTGTACAAGAAATCTGGGCTGTGTATCGATAATCTAAATTTGTAAACATTTTGGAATATTGAGTAATGAAATTAATTTTTAGCTGCCACTCTGTATATCTGTAATTATGAAATCCTGATCGTGAGCGTCGGATTCGTAGCTGATATCACTTATGTACTTTATATAATAATTAATGGCTGGTAGCAACAACCTACAGTGGTGATCGAAACAAGGTTTAAAATGACAAAGAATAATAAATTGCCTGCAAAAACGTCAGTCTTCGTTAAGTTCAGCACATCATCGAAGTCCACCCCGTGTAGTTTGACGCGTTGAAATGTCCGCACCCAATCCATGTCATTTCCGCTTTCATTGTTTGCCGCTTGTGCAATTGTATTGATCTTTAATTGTTTCGTGTAACTGCAGATAATTAACACTAGTTGCGCGAGCTTAATGATAAAATGAATTTATTGTTAGTGTAATAGGGTGATGGCCCGCCCTTTATAGCATTGGACAACGAAGCAAACTGGAAGGCCGGATAGAGATTAAACATCAACAATTGACGAAATGATAACACCGCCGTTTAAATTGACAAAGACATACCGGTTATATACGTGCACATTACAAATTATCAGTAGATATACGACAAAGGCAGAATTAAACAGTAGACGCGCTGCATTTTGGAATAACGTTTTGTGTACTGAGCGGTGTCAAACAAACCGTTTAATTTCCGCAACCTTTATGCTTTCCTTTCGAAGTAGAGATCCCAATAACTCCACAATTATTTTCTCCGTGGTCTTGAATGCCTGCAGGTCCATCAGGGCGGGATGGGCATTCGCTGCCATCGCGCATCGACCAGAATCGCAACTTAAAATTAATCCTGCCAATAGGATGTAGCGGTGCACGATAGGCATCTGGATGGCAGGTTGGTACTTTTAAAGTCTATGTGCCCATGCCCTAAAATTAAATGATGTGTGCTATGAAGCTAGACAAACATATGATTAGCGCTGAATAAAGGAGTGATGTTCTGGAATACAAATCGCATCAGTGTCGTCAATTCATAACTACCAACGTTATGTACTAGTGACACCACAGTCCCAAACAGAACAATTACTAACGATGACTCTTAGTGACAGTTAAAAAGATTTTAAGCAAATGTGGGGGAACAACACCGGTTGGTAGTTGGTAACTTGGTAGAAAATACTTACGAGTAAAACATACGATTTCTGTAGCTATCATTCAGGTGCAAAACACCGGCTGGAGTCTGCAGTCAGTTTACTGAGCTTGCATTTGCTCAACACTTCAGCTCAGCTACCAACTACTTCAAAGTGTGATCAGTTATTACCGCCTGCATCTTTACATTAGCGTTGATTCAGCATAATAATTCCTTGTTTCAGCATACAGCATAAATGTGTCACATCTCGCTCGACGGTTAGCATGATATCGGAGCTAAAGACAGATTGTACGACAAGACCTCCCTGTACATACCGCGTATGTGGTGCTGTGCAATAACTACCGATTTTAGAAATTTTTAATTACAGTACATACATAACGTTATTCTAAATACCGTACATGGATACTTCAACAATTTATCAGCTTTAGGATAATATATGCGGTATTATTCGTCATAAGTACAGGCACGCGGTAATTTAGAATGAGTCACACGTGGAACAATTAATTAATCAGCTATTATTTTTCTGTGGTTATTCTGTTTTACTATGGGACCGGAACTTAGCAGCTGCTGTGGAAAAACTGAATTTCCGGAATAATGCGGTCCCAAGTTTTCTTGAATACTCTGTTTGGACTGTTCATTATTATTAACAATCACCACGCTGCAGCCGATGTATCTTCAGCTGTGGCCGATATGGATGCCTGGATTGCCACGGAGAAGGTGGTCTTGGATATTCTGCAACGTACCCTTCATGAGGAGCGCCGCAAACTCAGAGAAGCCAAGCGGTTCGTCGCATGTTTCTAAATTTGACGGCTATAATTGTACGGTTATATAAAATGCATACCAGAAATTAGTACTGTGCAGCTGCCAAGACTAATAATAATATTATTTAGTCTTGGCAGTAGTTTACGTTTATAATATTATTATAAACTGTTGGTAATATAATATTACTATAAACTGTTGGTCAACTACTTTATTGCGCCAATATAGGTTAAAGGGGAGATTGTCACAGTTGTTAGAAGAGGGGAATGAACGACGCCCACGAAATGCGTTCCAGCATATGAAATTGTGGTTGACTCTGGACGACGTCGTCAGTGTAATTTCGACTGATGTGTTTACTGGTAATTCTCAAAATTAAAGGAAACGATAGCTTTAATTTATAACAACGCTGTGAACAATTGCTGGGTAGCACAGTTAGCTGTTTGCAATAAAACATGTTCGCGATTATGTGTGTTAACGTCTTCGCTTTGCCTTGCAGAGCATTACAAATTACTTGAGGAAGAGCGCTGCGTGCAAACATTTCCCGACAAACAGGAGATCGACAATTACGGAGAGATTTTCGCGAGACTGCAGTTAGTCTACAAAATTCATCCGCAGGACATCGCCGAAGGTCGCATTCCCGGTACCCGGAAGACCATACCCTTCACATCCGAGGAAGCCTTCCTGATTGGCCACCAACAAGCGCAGAGCTTACTTTTTAATGCAGCGGCGGCTTGGCTGGAAACGGCACTGGAGACTTACATCGAAGAACCGGAAGGAGAAAAAACCGGCAACGTCTTGGACATCTTGAACTGGCTACAATTGACAATTTATCAGGATACCGGCAATGCTGTTAGAGCGTTGGAGTACAGTCTACAAATGCAGGAGATTGATCCAGAGTATTGGAATTTAAAGGATAACATCAAGGTTTACGAGAATATGATTAACAATCTGACTGCTGTGCAGATGGAAGCGTTTCGCAATGCGCCAAATGCTACGGTATCCTTTAACACCGGCGCCGTAGATCCGCTGAGCGTTAGTTCGGCGGATGAAGCGTATCGCGCTCTCTGTCGCGGAGAAGAACGAATGGTAACAATTGCTTTATTTTGTACAAAAGCTATCTTTCTATTGCGAATGTTGTTGTGAATATCGTCACTGTGAGAACCTGATGACTAGGGTAGGATCCAGGAATTCGCAATCGACTGAAGTGCCATTATCAAACGTACAACAATCCGTATCTGCTAATCCAGCCGGTAAAAGTGGAACAGCTGTACGATGACCCGCAAATTATCATGTTTCATAGCGTCCTGCTGGAAACCCAAGCGTCACGCATCCGCCAAGTCGGTCATCACCATTTATCCCGGGGTCGTGTTGCCGGAGGAGATGTCCGTGGAATGGTTTCCAATTACCGTATTTCAAAAATGTAGCGCGTGTGTTCTTTTTGGTGGATTAAAATCATTATAAATTTTGTCTTTCTGTAGCGCCTTTTTAGAAGAAAGTATCGATCCGGTTATCGCCGAAGTAAACCGCTACATCGGCCACATTACCAATCTGGACAGCAGCATAGCCGAAGATCTGCAAGTCAACAACTACGGTATCGGTGGTCATTACTCGTCGCATTATGACTTTTACACCAACGTCCACGATGTGTTCAATCTCATCGCGCCCATGACCAATTACGAAATATGGGGCGATCGGCTGGCCACCTTTCTTCTATATATGACGGATGTGGAGGCCGGCGGCGCCACGGTGTTCCCGCGTCTCAACCTGACACTCTTTCCCGCAGCCGGGTCCGCCGTTTTCTGGTACAATAAATTTAAAGATCTCTCACCGGATCCGCGAACATTCCACGCAGGTTGCCCGGTTTTGGCCGGGAATAAATGGATATCGAACAAATGGATCAGAGAGAAAGGGCAGGACAAATATAGACCCTGTGCACTGCAGCCAGATGGAGTTGCTAATTTGACCAACTGGCTGGAGCGTTTCGCTTAAACGTGAATCAGTAAAGCAGTGAAAAACGAATTTCAAGACTGACGAAAACATGGGTTATTCTTGGCTTACATAAGTTATAACCGTTGTGCACGTTGGTTGTACAAATATGCTTGCCAATCTATGTAGTACATAACTGCAACTAAGATATAATATGGAAATTATGAAAGATACGTATTCTGCGCTTCGCCGAATTCCATGGTACATGTATATGCGGGTTTGTTAATAAACTGATAAGGCTAATGAAAAAAATTGGCAAGGCAACGACATTTGACAAATCGGAAACAGTCAAACAGGAGATGAGTTATTAAAATCAAAATTCCATAATTTTTGAGAAATTCGAGAACAGCATCGAGTGCACAACAAACCTCAAGCTTTTAGCAAACCAGGTCGTACAGCCTAGTTTCGAAGATGCAAAAACCAAAAAGCTCAGATCTGTGCACAGCGTCAGACGCTGTTCAGAATATTTTCCCCTTTATCATCACTAGTAAGTAGCACACTTATTTCAGTATAATGTTATTTTACAGACCTGGCGGTCATTAAAATTATAGAATTACCTATTTCGGATTGGTTGCAGACTTACAGTCTTTTCATGATGAGCACTACTTAAGTACTGGGCAGCGGAGGTGTAATGGGAGCCGCTGTGGGCGGTATTATCGGCGGCATTGCTGGAGGCGTTTTGGGTGTACATCACCACGATAAGGAATATGGCCAGTTCATTGGAATGACGGTGGACGGTGCGACCGGCACGGTATCCGGCGTCGTTTTCGGGAACACGGTCCGCACCTTCTGATTTTGTCCATGCTGTTTTAGGGCTTGCATGTCCACAATGAACTTGTCAGCTTCTTTGCAACTTGTTAATTTTTAGAAGACAAGTTAAAAATCCGTATAGGGAAATAATAACTTTATTGAGAAGATGAGTTAGTGAAAATCACCGAAGAGCAGATGCGCCTTGGCGCTAGGTGCTTGTTCTGGATGCAGGAAGGCGATGGAGGAGCTGCTGCTGGAACCGAGCAAGGCAAACCGAACGTCAGTGTCGCAGTTTTGGCAGCAACCAAAAATTCAACGCAAACGAATTCGAAGAAATCTACACAATGTACTATGTACAAAGTGCTAGATGAGATGTAAAAATTAATAGACAGTTATGTATGCTTTATTATCCCTAAAATTGAGAATATTGACTACAATCCATAATCAAGATCACACGAAAATTTTTCCCATCGAAATATCTTCATTCAATAGGCACTGACGTAATAAAAATGTGAAAATTCCATGTAGCAAAACTATATTATTATCGCCTACTGTAGCCGAACGAATGTCTGATATCGCAAACTTACAAGTAAGAATAAAAATGATGCAGCGAATTGATTAAATATATGCCTGTGTGTATTATCAAAAACAGTATTCCCACAAAAACGCGCTCAACTGCTAAACGACAGCTAAGAGCCTGGCTGCTTGGAAGTCACTCTTTGTAATTCAAGGAGAAAGTGGCGGGTGATGCGCGACAGTTTCTCCAACTGTAGACCTTGAATACCGTCCACGCACCATTGCTTCCCGTGGTAGTGCGTCGAGGGACGCGGATCCGCCGCCTGCAGCGCGCACAGCATCTACAAAACGAAATCATTGTCAGTAGTACCTTTGCAAGCTATATAGCATTAGCGAGCGACAGATGGCCGTATAATCCGCAATCGAGAATTGTACCTTGCAGACGGCTCGCTTGAGTTCTTGCTCTGCATCAGTATTCCGATTCCGTTGCTCCAAGAGTTCGTTTAGCTTCTGGTTACTCGGTACCTCGAAGAAATTGTAATGGTTCACTTTAGGTCTACCGTCTACTTTGTCTCCGACTTCGCCGCCCGTTATAGGCCGCGCTGAACGAGTGAACGGATAAATTAACTGAAATGAGTGAATGCCGGATAATTATCCAAGTAAAATACTATAGTCTCATTTATCCTGAATCCCCGCTTCCTGCTCAGCTGCCTGCCGTGCTTACTCTTTCTTTTCTGAAAGCTCCGTCTGCACTGTCCAACGGATCCGTTCCGTGGGAACGAAATCCGTGCACGCTTCTCCGCTATACACACACCGCCACTTGGCTACGGCTCCTCGGCACTCCCCGCGCGCCATCCCGCGACCGAAATTGACTGCTTGACCAGGGACCCAAATCCACGGACCGCACCGCGTTTCCGGCACCAGCACTTCCACGGGAACACTGGAAACTTCTGGGGAATAGGTGAGAGCCAGATGCGCTTCGCCCGCCTTGCTCTGCACAAAAAGACGGTCGAATGGGACGAATTCACGGCGTTGATCGAGACAGAAGAGATCGACGAAGTGCCCGTTGTTGGCCACGTCCACCACGCGTCCGTACCGCATCATTCCGTCGTTGAACAGAACGTCGACGACGTTCTCGCGGTGCATTCCGCTAGGCATGCTTAAAGGTGTGTCGGGACTCTGCAAGGAAAATGCACTGATGCACAGTACACCGCCGCGCGCACAGTGGAATACGCTCCAGTAAAATGCCTTCCTCCAGTAGCTACATGCAGAAAGAAATTGATGGTAGATTAAGTATAAATATGCTTCACAAAAAACCTGTAAAAATTTAATATCAAGATAAATAAGAAAACATTAGGCTGGAAATATACCTATGTTATTATTATCAATCTTATATTACTGTACCGTGAAAGAAAAGCACCCAAATGTGAAAAATCCCTTTAGCAAAATCTAGAAAACTGTTTGTTTTGCGCTCTCAGCCGCTCTGCCACACAGTATTTGCAGACAGATCGAACGCAGGAAATTTCCGGTTTTAACCCGTTCCACACTATGCGTGTTAGACCGACATGGTGGAGGACTTCTTCTCTCTTATTCGTAATTATGGTCAAATGTTGATGTTAATGGTTTTATTTCAAAGAACAGAGGTCAGGCTACAGTTTACAACGTATAGCCGTTAACTCCCTTATGTCCGAAAGGTCCAGGGAGTGGCCAAACATGATCAAAATTGACCAAACGGGGTACTCGGAGGTCTAGCTTGCTGTTACAGCCACCTCCGCATCAGATAATTACCAGAAAAATCACAGAAGAAGCAGTTGTTTAGCTTTATACTGGAATGAGGGAAAGTTTAGAGAAAAAACGTTCGTTGGTCAGTGCTGGTCAATTGAAAATACCATGTCGGTTTTGACACGGTTGGACACGGTACTAAAAAACAAATAATCTTTAAAAATTCATATCAATTGACAGAAGCATCGTAAGCGGTACAATAAACAATCAAAAGAAAGCCCATAAATTGTTTTAATAACTGACTGGGTCATAATGGTCAGCAAAGTGACCACTGGTCAGCGCAGGCAAGAAACCCGAAAACTGTAATTTTTGACTAAACGCTGTTAAAATCAATGCAAACAAATGTAAAACAGCTGTGTAATGACTGCTCTCGGTACTTTTGAAATCGCTATGACCCGTTCTGTCTACAATATAACCGCATAAACGACTGAACGTCGGACCGGAATGGTTGCGTGAACGGCTGTTTTGGCTATTTCGTGGTACAGTGCACTTGCTTGTGTGCGGAGTGCTATTACTGGCTTCATGCCTTGTTCTTAGAGCTGGCTACTCCACTGGTCATCGAACAATTCGTATACAGTATTCTTTGCAAATTTTATCTGAATTACACTGCAGCAATGAGTGAGAAGTCTTGTAAAAGTTATTTATCTCGCGTTAATACTCTGCTAGTGACGCTTGTACCCAGGGCCGTAGCGAGGGGGGGTGCGCACGGGCGCACGCACCCCCCTCCTCGGCTAATTTCTGAAATTATTTTGCGCCCGAATCTGGCGCACGGGCGCGCGGGCACGAAATTCAAGGGAATTTTAAGGGCGCAGCGGGCGCCGAAACGAGTGCGCCCGTGGCGCAAGGGCGGTGCCGCGTTAAATTTGTATAAAATGTTTTGTAAATTTCGGAATCTTACACACAGTAGACTTTGACCTGTACTGCCGGCTGTGCAACGGGAGCAGAGCCGTAGCGAAGTCCAAGGGAAATGCGGGGCGCAAGGGGTGCAGACTCTTGAATATACGGGCGCAGTGGGCGCAGACCGAACTTAAAAAGGGCGCAACTGGCGCAGCCGATTTGCGCACCACCCCCCATCTTTCGGACCTCGCTACGGGCCTGCTTGTACCCTTGCATCAAGCACACACATTTTGACCTTCCGGTCTATGAGCGCTCATACGGCATGCCTTGTACCTTGTAGAAATCAATCTGTGCGAAGCTGAGAATATAACGCAAATTTGAAGTGACTTAGAAGTTCTGTCTTCTTTTCTAAATACCAAAATTTGTTGTTTTGTACGCGTGTTGACGCAAGTATATACGGGTATAACAGGCTTGGCAGAACTTGACTGACCTTGATGTGCTAAATTCCCGTATTTCTCAACAACTGGTCACTTGTAAAACACTTTGAAGAATTGACCACCGGTATATTAACGATAGTGATCATTCTCCGGAACCAGCCCGGCTCTTTATCTCTACTATCCCGTTCAGTTGTATAGCTGGATATAGCATTACTTCTACTGCACATGTTACTCAAACTGTGATCCACATTAAGGTAGATGACCAGTTGTCCAAAACATGAGCAGAAGTGACCAACTGTTGCGAAATATCCGATTAGCACTTATACAATGGTGCATTTTACTAATTTTTCGTTTTTAAAGTTTTCTTGACCACTGGTCATGCCGATGACCATCACAATGCACTTGTAGTGAAGTACTCGTTAAGATCTATCGTTTGAGCTACTGACATATTCTATGCGATTTTTTTATCAGGTTTTATAAACGGCAACGGATAACATGTCGGCGCAACATGGTTACCATGCGTGTTAGGCCGACATGGTCATCTCCTGCTTGACCTATGGTCGCTAAAATTTCGAAAAAAATATTTTTCTCTTAATTGAATTTTTCTCTCCCAGACTGCCAATTTTCAAAACTGTAGTCCCATCCCTTCTAGTACCCGGTTTTCCTGGGTTAAAGCAGAATTAAACAGCTGGAAAGAACGGTTTTTTAGCCGGCTCTACTGGCTGACAAAGGGTAAAGAGACACTTGACCATTCAGTAATTTATTATTGCGGGAATGAAACCCCACAACCTGGCGTATGTAAAAGTTTTTCTCGCACTAATCATATATCTACCGTGATGCTTGCCTTCACCATCACCGCAGCTGTTATATTAATCTGGTCAGCCATCTTTTAATCGCCAATCGGCCAGCTTAATTGGCCA